CAGCTCCCATGCGCTACTACGTCACAACACAAAAATTTGTATCTTTAGAACTTGATTCTGTAAAATCACATTAATTTTATTCGAAAAATAATATAAATTGTGCAACCAAATAAACAAGCATTTTCAGTTCCTTTTATGAGTGTGCAAGCTGTGAGTACGGACAAAGTTTGGTGTGACCCCTAATACATTGGGTACAATCTTTTTCATGGTCCTTCGAGCCGGATATGAACCAGCGACCTATGGATCTACAGTCCGCATGTGACACAGAAATATTTTATGGAGGTTATGAAGAATGGCCGTCCTTCCGGGACATGTTTACAGCCGTAAACCATCAAAATGATTAAAAGCGCAAAAATTGTTCACCTCCGGTACAAAACTAAAGGTCAAGCAGGCGCAATAGTAAAACAGTTCGCACTAAATGACGACAATTTCAATTTGGCTTGGGAAGTGCTAAAAGCAAAATATGAAAATAAAAGAATATTGGTCGATAAACAAGTAATGACACTAATAAACTTGCCTAAAATTCAGAAAGAAACAAGTGAAGAATTTATTAAACTACAATGCACTGTTTCTAATTGTTTGTCGGTTCTATCGACACAAAACATTCCCACAGACAGCTGGGACCCTATTATGGTAAATATATGCACCGCCGCATTACCAGAAAAATCGTTACTTTTATAGGACCAAACTAAAATCTAGCGAGATTTTTAAAAAATTAAAAATTCACGATAGAAACAATTTTATAAGATCAAAACGATTATGTACAAATTGCTTGTCACATACGCATACTCATAAAAATTGCAAATGCAAATTCAATTGCATCTACTGTCGAAAAAGGCATCACACAATGCTTCACAGCACATTTCCCAGCTCACCCCAAAAGAGCGCATATATTAGTACAAAAAGAACCACAGGTTTAGTTTTAACTTCAAATCCCGAAAACCACAATACCAAAAATTGCCAAATGACACCATGTTGCTCAAAGGCATTAAAAACTCAAACGCTACACAGCGAAAACTAAAGTAGGGCACTACTACCCACAGCAGTCGTCTCCATCGAAAATCGAGGAGAACTCTATAAACTTAGAGCCTTAATAGACCAAGGATCACAAAAATCTTTCAAAGCGTCTAGGGCACAAAGTAGGCTAAAACTGCCATCAAAACAATAGAATTTTGAAAATAAGGGAATAGGCGAAACAGTAGTCCAAAACTCACACAAAATCTGCCCCATTACCCTAATTTCCCCCCAAGCGGATAGGAGAATTAAAGCAATAGCTATAGTCTTACCGCCACAAATATGGTTCCAAGCTATCACACAAATAGCAAGCATTGGCAAAAGGTTTCACACCTGAAGCTAGCAGACCCCAAATGCAATACCCCCGCTCAAATAGATATAATAGTAGGTAGGTAGGTAGTAGTAATTTCATAATATATTTGGTTGGATTCTAAGTAGACTAGTTCCAGAAGCAGTTTCCACAGCAACAACTCAAGTTGACGAAAATCCAAAAGAATATCTTAATTCACAATCAAGAAAATTTCGGGAGTTAGAAAAACGCCACCTCACATCAATTACAACCCCAGAAGATCAGTATTGAGAAGACTTCTACAAAGCCACAACTACTCGTCATACGACTACCACTAAATTCACAATGTTCCAACACTCCACAAATTGGCAGAAAAATTAAGTCAGAGTCCTTTCTGACCAGATTAGTTTTAAAAAACACAAATATGTAACTTTTCGACTCCGCAGGATGGCTCTTTCCAATAATGATACAAAAATCTTGTTTCAAAATGCATGAGATATGTGGCTCGCTCCTTCTTGCCAAATTGGTGCATACGCACTTCAACATTATCAAAATTGTCCCAAAAAGTCGAAAAATCTACACATAACAAATTGTCCTGTAGTAGCTCACTTTTTCAAAATTATAAACCAATTTAAAAATAAGGTTAAGGGATCACCATACTTCCAATGTGATACGGTGACGCACCCAGACTTACAAAAAATATGTCGCACTTATCGCAACTATCTAAGCACTCATCATACGGGTAGTTTATGGGAAACACTTGTAAAAGTTGTAAATCTCACTTCAAAAAAGTGAGCGAAAATCACAAATCTCACTCTCGCAAGATCCCTCTTTAAAAGTCTCAAAGGAGCATCCATTATGGCCACACCGTAGCCAGGCGTGGAATCGCTAACCTTAATAATGCCGATAGAAAAAATAATATTTAAAGGACCTCGACAAGAGGCCAAAGAACGCCAAACCTTAAAGATTGTGTCCTTACTAATATTCCGTACAATGTAAAAAAAAAAAAGAGCAAATACCATGTGTTGTTACCGGAATTGACCCGGATTTTTAGGGCTGTTATTTCGGCGATCCAACCCTGTTTGGATCGATAACTTCTAGGTTAAGTTTGTCGTCATTGGAGCAACGCCTAGCAGCAGGGTTGCTCCGTATCCTCCTGACCCGTGCTGGCACCGAGTCCAACTCGGACCCGAGGAATTTTACTGCTGCGTTTTCGCTAGAAGGCACCATCCAAACTCCACCTCGGTTAGGTGCAATACATGCAATAGATGGAGCCATCTTAAGACCTACTCAGGCCTTAAGACACATAGTGAGTGGACCACGAGTTACGTGGCCCCATGCTGCCAACGCAATACTGCGACATCTGTCTCAACGGCACTCCAGTCGAGTGGCCAAAATAGGACCTCCACGGCCCTAAGGATCTCACACAGGCAGCATGACTCCCAGTCTGACCAACGATTGACGATTCGACATTCTGCACAATGAATGACGAAGCCCCCACTAGCTAGCGGTGGTCTGATAAATAGTATAACCTGGCGACCTATGCTAACTCTCGCATCAGACCATCTGCCTATAATTATCTCGATCGAGAAACCTCCCGACTTTATTTCTGTGGACAACCGCACCTTTGTTAACTTTAACAAAGCTAACTGGGTCGGCTTCACAGAATTTACCGAGAGCACCTTCAACGCACTACCCATTCCTACGAACTTTATCATTGGCGAGCGTCAATTCTGCAAGGTGATCGCTGCTGCTACTGCTCGCTTCATACCGGCTGGAAGAATCGCGGAACACCGTCCTAATTTCCCAGCCGAAGCAGCTGTACTAGCAAACGAACGTGAAACCTTAGGCCATGCTGATTTCTGTGATCCCCGAATAAGGGGAGCACCTGAAGTCCTGCAACCTCTCCACCGGTGTAAGTAAGCTTTGGACTACTGCCAAGACCCTGTCAAATCCGAGGAAACATGATGATCAGGTTGAAATTCAATTCGATGGCCATGCCTCCTCGGATCCGAAGAAGTGCGCGAGCTATTTTAGCCGGCAGTTTACACTGCACCCTTCGACTGACAAGGCCAAACGATGTATTACCCGACGGCTGCGCAAAATGTCAAAAGACTGCGCACCACTTACTTTCACCGATGGGGAGGTTCAGAGTGCCACCACAAAGGCCAAATCGTCCAAATCCATTGTCCTTGACGGAATAAGCATGCTGATGCTAAAACATCTAGGCTCGACGGGAGTAAGCTACCTTACCAAGATCCTCAACTTGTCGATGGCCACTCTTCAAATACCCGATGTGTGGAAAGTCAGAAGAGTGGCCCCACTACTGAAGCCTGGGAAACCCACCAACAAAAGGGAGTCTTATCATCCGATAACTCTCCTTTCCCCAGTAGTGAAGACATTTGAGGCCTTGTTACTCCCGACATTCACTCACCACCTGAGTCCAGCAGAACATCAGCATGGCTTCCGAAAAGTACACAGCACTTAGCGTCATAAACGCCCAGATAGTTCATGGCCTAAACCAGAAGCCACCCTGCGAGGACGATCCTCGTAGCGATGGACTTGTCGAAAGCCTTCGACACAGTCAACCAGACAACGCTACTTGAGGACATCGAACAATCTACGCTCCCTCCAGGGCTGAAGCGGTGGACTATGAACTACCTGAGCGGTCGGCATTCATCCGTACTGTTTCGAGGTCACAACGTCAAACTGAGAAGAATTAAACAGGGGGTTCCGCAGGGTGATGTTCTCTGCCCTCTACTGTTTAACTTCTACATCTCGAAACTCCCCCAACCCCCAGAGGGAATTTCCGTGACCTCGTCCGCTGATGACTGCACGATATTGACGTCGGGCAATGGAATCGATAGCATGTGTTCGAAAGTAAACGGCTATCTCTCCGATCTTTTTCGCTTCTTCTCTGCAAGGAGTCTGACACTCTCCCCCACAGCGACCATATTTACGAACTGACGAAGGAGTACAGACTGGATCTTAACATTTCAGTCGATGGTACCAAAATTCCGACGGTAAACAACCCTAAAATTTTAGGCGTTACACTAGACAGTCTTTGCTCCTTCACTCCTCACACGACTGCGATGACTGCCAAGGTACAGAGCCGCAACAAAATTCTCAAATCGCTAGACGGCAGCTCTTGGGGAAAAGACAAAGAAACGTTGCTGGCGACATACAAGGAAATCGGCCAGCCGGTCCTAAACTATGCAGCCCCAATATGGTCGCCTGGATGTAGTGCTACGCAGACGAAGAAGCTCCAGACCTGTCAGAACACAGCACTTCGGACTATCACGGGATGCCTCTTGATGTCCGCAATCGAACACCTACACAGTGAGGCCCGTATGCTTCCGGTTAAGGAACATAACGAGGTCCTATCCAAGCAGTTTCGGCTGAGTTGTTTTCGCTTGTCTGCTTGAAGTTGAGCCGCCTCCTAGGAACATCAGGAGGAAACTTGCGCACCCTAATAATGCCTATCACATAATCATCACTACACCACACCAGATGTCACCTCACGACAACACCCCACACCGCCAACCAACAAAAAAGATGGACAACAGGACAGCCATGATCATTCGCAAAAACAATTCGTTTCGTCAACAGGCCTGAGCGCCACGTACATATTCGATGAGACAGCTCCCGCGCGCTACTACGTCACAAGACAAAAATTTGTATCTTTAGAACTTGATTCTGTAAAATCACATTAATTTTATTCGAAAAATAATATAAATTGTGCAACTAAATAAACGATCATTTTCAGTTCCTTTTATAATTGTGCAAGCTGTGAGTGCGGACGAAGTTTGGTGTGATCCCTAATACATTGGGTACAATCTTTTTCAATTATTGAATATGCTCAAAGCCTAACAGTAAGTTTACAAATCTTAAACCTAAATTAAAATAAACGTGTTAGCTCGAGCTAACTCCGAGCCCTTTTCGAACTATGGCGCTTTTCTTAGAAGGCGGGAACATCTCGTCGATGCAGTCGGAAATTTCTAAACGAATTGAATATCATACATCCAAATAGGCTTTATAATTGCATTGTAGATGAGTATTTTCTAATCTAGTTTTATCCTAGAGTTCCTATGTAAAAGTCAATTTTAGCTAGCTGCTAGTATTTTGGCACATATACGTATTTTCCAGGTGGGCCTTCCACCGATTCTTGGAGAATATTTATACCATTTAATCTAATTGCAGGACATATTTGTGGGCGTAATGTATATGTAACGTGTTTAGACTTTTGCTCATTGACTTTAATTCTCCAGTTTGTCAACCATTCTTCGATAAGAATTAATTAGTCCCCAATCGATTTTGATACATTTCTACGACATTTATTACGGCATAATATGGCTGTGTTGTCCGCGAAAGTAGATGTTTGTACATTTCGATTTACTAGGATATCTGCAGTGTATATGAACGCTACCTTGAAGTACAAAAGCATTTACTAGAAACTCTTCAGTGATAAATTCCGATTGTATCACGGTAGACAGTATATTGTAGAATTGGATAGGTAGTTTTATAAATTTTTTGTTGTAGGCCTTTATGTGAAACCTTCTCGAACGCTTGTGCTACGTTAAGAAATATTGCACAGCAATACTCCTCGAATGCCTTCCTAATTTCATTAGTAATTAAGTTGACTTGTTCTACAGTACCATGTTTTTCACGAAAACCGAATGGGAGAAAAGGAGATATCTTTGATAGCAAAATTCCATCGAATAATTTGAAAGGGCAGGGCTTATTGGTCTGTAAGAAGACGTCTGTGGGTGGTCTCTTCCTGGTTTGGCTATCATTAGTATCTGCAACTTTTGCCACGCATTTGGAAAGTGACTTAGTTTCATAGTGGCATTAAAGAGTCCAGAGAGTAGTGGTAGTGCAACACTTGGTAGCTCTTTTACATTTCAGTGTAATAAGGTCATAGCCTGGAGATTTCTTTGGGTTCAATTGCTGAGTCGCATTTACAACTTCCAGGGTTGATGTTTTAACCGTTATTGAAGTCCTTAATAAATTCATCCTTATCGTTTTCACTGTTCAATATAGGGCTGATGTTAATGTGACTACTAAACATTTTTTTGTATCTTAGCCAGTTTGTTTTTTGCTTGTTAGTCTTAGTTCTTGGGTCACTATCACCGCTTTCTCGTAAATTTTTATTAAAATTAGCAAGTGGTCAGAGGTTAGGCCAACAACAGTCATAGCTGATACAAATTGGCGGTCGATTTTCCTTGAAACGTCTACTAAGTCAGGTATTTTTCTCCAATCAGTGGGTTTACCTGGAGAAATACACTTTACATTATTACGTTTATTTAAAATAGTATTGTAAAGTTGGCGTCCTTTTGGGTTTATCAATCGAGAACCCCTTTAAACATGATTTGCATAGTCTCCTCCGGCTATAAATACATCCCCCAGGGTTCCGAAAAATTCTGAAATTGTTTTTCTGTGTTTTTTTGTTCATGAAAATTTGGAACATATTGTTTTGAGTGCGAATTTGAGACGGATTTGTCTACAAATTGGATTTGAAATTTGTTTACCATTTCACTCCGGCGAGCATGGATGCTATAAGACAGCCTAACTTTCAGATATTTGTACACCGGACAGCTGGAGAAGAGGCGCGGTGAGCTTTTTCACGGATGGGTCGAAGCTAGGAGAGAAAGTTGGAGGGGGGTTTTCTGTAAAGAGCTCTCCGTCAATCTTTGCTTCAGGCTACCGGACCACTGGAGCGTTTTTCAGGCGGAAGTGGCCACAATCAAGGTGGCGGTAGAAGTACTGTTACAAAGTGCAGCTTCGTTTAGAGAGGTGAGCATTCACTCCGACAGCAGAACGGCAATACAAGCCCTGAGTGCGCGAACCGTGCATTCAAAGCTAGTCAAGGAGTGTCTGTCCTCACTAGAATTAGCATCAGGCTACTTCAATATCAGGCTCGTTTGGGTGTCTGGTCACAACGGAATCCCTGGAAATTGCAAGGCCGATGAGCTGGCCAGGGGGGGCATCCTTGCCCCGCTCACATCGGAATGGGATCGAGTTGGTTCTTCGCTAACGTCTTGCATTCTGGCTCTGGACCAATGAACCTCGCATGCGCTCAGCAGACGCTGGTCGACGACCAACTACTGTGCGACTGCGCGATCCTTCTGGCCAAGAGTGGACCGCAGGAGGTCGGGGGATCTTCTCGCCTTGAACAAAGTTCACCTCGCCGCCATGGTATGAGTTCTCACTGGGCACTGTCCAATGGGATCTCATGCGGTGCGGCTTAGAGAACAACCCGATGGTAGTTGTCAAAGCTGTATGGAGGAGGGTGAAGTGGAAACATCCCGGAACTTTCTCCTCCACTATCCGGCTTTTGCTAGGCTGAGAATAAAACATCTCGGCAATCACACCTTTGGCGGACCAGAAGATTTGGCCGAAACGGATATAGACCGTCTCAACAAGTCGGCATGTAAGGGTCTATTGATCTGTCTCATAGGAGTTTTGGGTACCACAACGGACCGGCGTTTAAGCTGTCCAAGTGTGATGCTTCTTGGGACCGACCCTCTAACCTAACCTAACACCGGCCAGCCCCTGTAATTAGGTGAATGATTTCCTCCGCAATTACTATATTTTTTCATAGTGTCGCAGCCGTGGGAAGTAGATCTCCACATGCTACACAAACGTTGCGTTGTGTTCAATTGGCCGAATTCTTAGCAGTTTGTACATTGAACTGCACCATTTCTCTTGTGTGGCTCTTTTACAGTTACTCTGTGATGTAGTAAATATTTTAAGTTATAGATGGAGTCAGATTCATTTTTTTGCATTGATTTGTATTGAGAGATAGTTCCACTTTAAACATTGGGTACTTTGTTTTTCTTAAAAATATTTATAGCAGGTTTAATATTAAAACCAGCTTCTTCAAGAGCCTCTTTTATATCGTCCGGCGGTGGATTTTATCCTTGCATAAATATTTTTTCGGTATATGTTTGAAATTAAAGTAAAGAATTGCTTTTCACCGTCGGCATTTTCATATCTATCTAATTACTTATGTGTACATGTAAAGATATTTAAAAGAAAAATATTTGTAAATTTGTCTCAAAACATGTGTTATTGGCTGGCATGGCTATTGGCTGACATACTTACATTTGTACTCTTATATATACATATGTAGATTACTTGTCATACGCATATTTGTACATACGTACTTACATATAGAGCAGTGCGCGCACATGTATTTATTGATAAGTGATAATATCAGAAATTATATTCCTCCATGTGTATATACCAGAGAATGTAAGTGAACTCCATATTTATGTACATAACTATTTATACATACCTAAATTATTAAATTTGTAACAATTAAAACTAGAAAATTATTAAAAATGGAAAATATATACTTTTTTTTGCATAATCTTTCGCATTTTATCATGCCGCATTTGTGCAAAAAAAACGTATTTTATCAATTTTTCATCATAAAATCGTTTGTATGACAAAAAATAATCACACATATGTATGTGAACTGACATTTGTATTTTTTGTTCAAAGTATTTCATTTTTCTCTTTATGTTGGTAGATACATACGTATTTCTGCCAGAGAACGTTATTATAAATTCTTATTTCTGTAAAATAGAAGCGAATACCACAAAAAATGGCGAATTCCCTGCTCAGAGTTTTTCAGCTCTGTTAGCCGTCCAATCGCACAGCATACAAAATTCAATTTACACCTTCTCGTTCACTTAAATAATCTGATATAACAACATACTTGAGCTACGTTCGCGCAAGTAAATTGGTAGATGTTTGGTATTTCCAACCGTCTGAGTACCCTTTATTCGAGCATAATTGTATTCACGTAATGCAACAATAGCAAAGTAGGCATTAGAGAGCCTTCGGTCTGGCGGGTTTAGCCGTTTTGCACTAATTTTTTACTTTAATTTCTGAATAAGTTACAGTTAAAATTATTATTTTGTTAATATAATAATAATTATATTATTATTTATATTCTTATTGTAATTTTTATTTTAATATTATTGTTGTTATGGCACAGTCACTTGCACTTATTTATACAGAGAGTTGCCGCACTAAGCAAAATGTTTATTGTTTCTGACGCAACTTATGTTGACAGTGGACATGGTTTTTATTAGATTTCACCCATTTTCACACTGTCGAAAGGTATACCGAAAATATTTGTCCTGAGAGAATTTTTTCAATTAAACTTTAATGGTTTGCGAGACAGGGAAAACTTTAGTATAGGATCCCCCGAATTCGGGCATAAAGTGAGTATTGATGAATGTGGTAATAGGGTGTTCTACAGATTAAGAAGTGCCGGGCTAAATAGAGGTGCCTATGCGAGAAAAACCAGCAGAATTTTACAGTTTTACAAGGATTCGGGAAAATGTTTATAAAAACCAAACGAGGAACAATATTTACATGATTCAAAAAACCATATATTGTGGATAAAATACAGAGCCAAATAATGACACTAGTTTTTTTGTATTCAATTAAAATTTTAGAAAAAACAAAAGTATATAAAGCATATACAAACAGTCATTTTTCCATCATAATTTTATATGGGCCAATTATTATGAAGCATATACTTTGCATTTCCAATGCATTTTGTAACAAGATAAACAAAATTACATAACAAAAATAAAACAACTCGAAGGTACATGGTAATTGGTATAAGTAATATAATGCTGAAACAAAATTATGTTGTCAAAAATATTTATATTTACAATATATTGTAATAGTAAATGCTGTCGACATTGCCGATAAGGGCCCAACGCCACAGCGATGAATGCCGCAGATTGAATATCACCTGAGTGGCGACCATCGGTGTTTTTTTAGATATCGGTACCTCCAAACGAAAGGAAAATGTCATCAAAAACGAAATACTATATATTTATTCTCTTGTAATGAAAATAGATAATTTATAACGAATTCAAACTTTATTTTGAGATAGAGTTCTATCGCAATGCAAATAGTAAAGCGCTGGAAGGCACGGGCCAATATATCGGCCTCCGGCACTCAAAGGGTAAAGATGTAGCCGTACAAGACTTATAGTTTTCGAGATATTCGCTTTAAATTCCGAAAATTCACTAATATTTTTTACACATTTATTTAACACGTTCACGTCGACGCCGATTTTCATTTGATTCACCCAACGGCAGCACACAAATCTGTATCGAGCTTCATCTGGCGGCGCGTCTTTAGACTTGCACGCTCGTCTTCTTTCCTCATTAGTACATTGAGTGCTTACTTTGCAAATTGTGTGACTCGTGCTGTTTTTTATATCCTGACCACAGATACAGGTAGTATACGCCGCCCCCTGAGGCGGTTAGCGCGATCCACCGGTGGTACGTCCGGCGTGAACGTGTTAATATTAAATATTGCACAAATAAATTTAAATCATAATTAAAGTTTTTTTAAATTTTAATTCTTTACACCTTAACAAGAGGGTTGCATACTAAGAAATACCATACCCATATTTTGCAACCGAAGAACAATAAATGAAAAGGGATAGAATAAACCACAAATACAGGAATTAAATAACTATTTAAAAGTTAGTATTAAAAAGTGGACAATTTAACACCGCAGGGTTCATAGCTCTTTCGTGTCAAACTATTTTCTGCATTGGCGGCATTCGGCCGGATTCTGTTCAGAACCAACAAACTTTGCCGAAACAATTCATACACTTTAAATAACTATTAGCATTAGTTACTCAACTCACCTCGAAGAAGGAAAAACTTCATTTCTAGTTGTACAATCCCTTAATTCAGTTATTGTAGTAGTTGCCCTGTTTTGATAGGTATCAAACACTACATTGACTTCACCTTCGCTACTAATGTCTTCTATAATTGCATCGTAGTATTTACCATCCTCTATCCATCTCGCTTGGCATTTATCGCCCACTTTCCAGTTTTGTGGTGCTGTTACCAACTTTTCTGCCTCTATCAAAGCAGCTTCAATTTCATCATAATATTCGGATATGTTAACTCCGGATGTGGGTTCCACATATGATGATTTCTTCTGTTCTTCAAATTGAGTTTTAATAAGATCATTAGTTAATTCAATTACTTCTACAAGCCCTTCTTTTAATTTCAACAATTCGGAATTTCCAGGATCAGTTAGCAGTCCTGCCTCTACCTGTAGATTGGAAATAAATCCAATATTGAAAATATTATTAGGCATGTACATGACTTGACTGATGTAAAAACACTTACGATAGTTTGTAAATCCAAAGCATTACATTAACTAATTAATACAGTAACTTACCTGCTGCAACTGTAATTTATAACTTTGAAGATCTTCAGCCATTTCAAGAGAATATCTGCAGAACTTTTTTTTTATATATTTGAAAGAATTTATTTACCTACTTTTACCAATGTAAACCACATATATCGTGAATGAAACATCACAACAATACTCAATTTTAACCTTACTGGAAATCTTGACAGGCAATAGATTATTTCTAAAAATCGATATTGTTCGCAATATTGCTAACGAAGACTGCCTATTGCTTAAGTTTAGCAATAGTTGTTTAATAGCGCTACTTAGTACGCAGTCTCTAGTCACCTTAAGTCATAAGGAAGTAAAATCTCATGTGTAACAAGTTACTATTCACAATACATTATCAAATCTTTAGTCACAAAATACTGTAACGAATTTTTTCATAAAACGTCTACCTTATTACTCACGCTTGA